ATCGAGCATATCATAATTTTATACAAAACTATGACATGACACACAAGCAGCCATGAAATCAATCTCATACTTGACCATGGAATTCAACTAGAAGAATCCTGCTTAAATACTTAATTCTCAACAAACCCACTGATACTGTTGATTAAAAAATGAAATATAATGTAATGTAAAATCAACTTCATGACACACATCTGCTACATAATTTAATGATTAAACCACAATAAATATATAACATATCTACACAATACATCTATTTTGTTATATATATACAGTGGGGAGAACAAGTATTTGATACACTGCCGATTTTGCAGGTTTTCCTACTTACAAAGCATTTAGAGGTCTGTAATTTTTATCATAGGTACACTTCAACTGTGAGAGACAGAATCTAAAACAAAAATCCAGAAAATCTATTTGCATTTTATTGCATGACATAAGTATTTGATACATCAGAAAAGCAGAACTTAAAATTTGGTACCGAAACCTTTGTTTGCAATTACAGAGATCATACGTTTCCTGTAGGTCTTGACCAGGTTTGCACACACTGCAGCAGGGATTTTGGCCCACTCCTCCATACAGACCTTCTCCAGATGCTTCAGGTTTCGGGGCTGTCGCTGGGCAATACGGACTTTCAGCTCCCTCCAAAGATTTTCTATTGGGCTCAGGTCTGGAGACTGGCTAGGCCACTCCAGGACCTTGATATGCTTCTTACGGAGCCACTCCTTAGTTGCCCTGGCTGTGTGTTTCGGGTCGTTGTCATGCTGGAAGACCCAGCACGACCCATCTTCAATGCTCTTACTGAGGGAAGGAGGTTGTTGGCCAAGATCTCGCGATACATGACCCCATCCATCCTCCCCTCAATACGGTGCAGTCGTCCTGTCCCCTTTGCAGAAAAGCATCCCCAAAGAATGATGTTTCCATCTCCATGCTTCACGGTTGGGATGGTGTTCTTGGGGTTGTACTCATCCTTCTTCTTCCTCCAAACACGGCGAGTGGAGTTTAGACCAAAAATCTCTATTTTTGTCTCATCAGACCACATGACCTTCTCCCATTCCTCCTCTGGATCATCCAGATGGCAAACTTCAGACGGGCCTGGACATGCGCTGGCTTGAGCAGGGGGACCTTGCGTGCGCTGCAGGATTTTAATCCATGAATGGTTTTCTTTGAGACTGTGGTCCCAGCTCTCTTCAGGTCATTGACCAGGTCCTGCCGTGTAGTTCTGGGCTGATCCCTCACCTTCCTCATGATCATTAATGCCCCACGAGGTGAGATCTTGCATGGAGCCCCAGACCGAGGGTGATTGACCGTCATCTTGAACTTCTTCCATTTTCTAATTATTGTGCCAACAGTTGTTGCCTTCTCACCAAGCTGCTTGCCTATTGTCCTGTAGCCCATCCCAGCCTTGTGCAGGTCTACAATTTTATCCCTGATGTCCTTACACAGCTCTCTGGTCTTGGCCATTGTGGAGGTTGGAGTCTGTTTGATTGAGTGTGTGGACAGGTGTCTTTTATACAGGTAACGAGTTCAAACAGGTGCAGTTAATACAGGTAATGAGTGGAGAACAGGAGGGCTTCTTAAAGAAAAACTAACAGGTCTGTGAGAGCCGGAATTCTTACTGGTTGGTAGGAGATCAAATACTTATGTCATGCAATAAAATGCAAATTAATTACTTAAAAATCATACAATGTGATTTTCTGGATTTTTGTTTTAGATTCCGTCTCTCACAGTTGAAGTGTACCTATGATAAAAATTACAGACCTCTACATGCTTTGTAAGTAGGAAAACCTGCAAAATCGGCAGTGTATCAAATTCTTGTTCTCCCCACTGTATATATATATATATATATAGTTTCAATGTTGGATAATGAAGATAGCAAAACATATAATCCATTAACACAATTCTCAAATTTTTGTGAAACATAACAGTTTGAAAAGTTCACATTTTCTTAATCTGCGTGGATGTGACTGACATGCACCTACACACATTTATTTTCTGAATAAGAAAGCATTTGGCAATATGCCCAAAACAAAAATACATTATTTCTCCAAGCATCATCCTAATTTAAAAGTGAGGACCTGCATTATGAGTAACTGATGGGTAGTCTGCATACTCATTTGCATTCTTAGAGTCAAAAGCCGTGGTTACACCTTGCATTAACATGTGGTTGTCGTCATCCAATCAAGATGATCCGATCACTATCTGATCAAGATTTGTTGTGTCTACACATGGGAATAAAATGTGTCTCTTATCTACCCACAACGTCAATATTGTGACCAGATTCCCTGGTCCCTCTCTGTATGCAAATTAATCCAACCTGCCTTGGACCTCCCCTTATGACACAAGCTGTATAAATCAACAGAAAACAGCACACATTTATAGTCAATAGTTTTATACTCTCATCATTACAACCTATGTTTCTTACCCAGCGATTTAAGACTGGGCGTAATAGGCTACTGTTCCAATAACCTCGACCTATCCACAGCCATACAAATAAATATTCAGAGAATCTCTCCCATCCCTGAAAATGTCACCAGACAAACGAGCTGACTATCTGGATGTGAGTACAAAATACAATTAATGCACAGTATAAATAAAAATGACAGGCCCTAATGCACACAGTAAAAACAGAAACAGGTTAAGTTACAGAGTAGGCTACAAAGTGCATCTCCGAATGGTACAACGCATTTAACCAAACAGGTCTGGACAGGGTTGATATTTACGCATGGATGTTTACATGCGTTGTCTTTATATTATTTGTAATCTTGTATTTTAAATAACCTTTAGTATAGGCCTAAACATTACCAAAGGAAAAAATGTGACATGCTGGGAGAACGATCGTGGTTCAGTTCCTCCAAATGATTGATCAGTGATAATTCACTAATGAAACCTCTAATATGATAAGCTATAGCAAAAATAATAGTGAAATTATGAAAATGCATGGATAAAACTGGCAATCGATAAAATGTGCAAATATGCACACATGTAAAGCAAATACTATGGCTTTATAAAGAAATAAAGTGTCAATCAGAGAGTAGCCTTAAGAGTCCTTCGTATTGTAGCCTACATTATATTGGACAGTTCATGCTTACAGAAAGATATGCGCCTTTACGCATCAGTTTGGACATCTTCTGCACTGTATTGATAGCTGGAAAATGCTCAAAGATTCACGGAATAGAATAGAATAGAATCGAAAATCATTTAATTATACCACTGAATTATTTTCATATCTGATATAGTAACTGAATTAGACTATTCACCACCCACCCACCCACCATTTATTTTGGCTAGATCTACAGGTGGAAAATTAGGCCTTCACATTATACCTTGCCATACTCTTGTCATGCACTGTGCTCTTCTGCTGCGACTCCATCATAGTCCGTCTCATGCATCCTCAATACATTTGTAGTTCAGTTTAAATTCTGCTATTACAGTCCTTGGACTTTCTGTAGTTATCAAATATTCGATTTTGCACTGGCATTGCATGTGGGAACGGGAGAACCCCTTTTCTCTCATTCGTGACGATATGTTTTCATAAATATCTTCATTTCTATATGCCCATTTGAGCTGGACCTGGTATTGGGACTGTGGCATCTGACCACAGTGCCAGTATAGGCACTTGGTTTCTAATGAAGACCATGATCTTAATTCAACTGGCCAGTGTTTTTGAGAGGGCAGGACAAACGTGACGTTGGCCAAATGTATACGATTTTGTTGTCAGGATTCGTTTACACTTCAAGGATATCCGTACAAGATGAGTCTTCGACTACCTCCGGAGGTGGTCAGGAACATCTAATCACAATCAGATCACAATGCGTATTTTGATTGTCTACAGCTGTCGATAAATGTGGGCACAATCAAAATGTGGACAAGATCAGGACAACAGATGCATATTAGAACCAGGTATAAACGGGGCTAATGACGTCCTGTTTAACTGTAGATTAAGCCACTCATCACTTCCTCTGTTCATTCACGTTACAATCTCATTTGTCAAAATGTTCATTCTGAACTCAAGTAAGGACACTTGCAAGAGACAGCATGACCCTTCCACATTCTACCCTGTGACTCAAGACACCCTCAGTTACCGTGAATGTAAGGTACTGGAGGTCTTGGCAGCCTTTGTATACACATACTTGGTATACACAAATCGTCTGCAATGTCCATAGGAAAATTGACATTATAAGATAAAGACATTCTGATTTGGCTAACCAAGTCTTTGTCATTATAAGAATATTTACAGGTCCTACTCCTTGATTTGGGTTGCGTTGATTAGTTGTTCACTGTTCTGGTAGCCCTTGCTAATCTTGTCTGAACCATAAACAACCCAATGCTTTCTCAATGCATTTAAACCAGCTCATGTTGTGAAGAACATTCTGATTATCAAAGATAGAACATGTCAACTGAGCATTATGGCGTGCATACTGTAGTGCCCATAATCATGGGTAAAGATGTTATCAGTAGTGTTGCTTTGTTCATAAAAACTAGCTGAGAAGAGACATCATCTCCACAAATTTCATCATCCTAGGGAAAGCTAAAATTACACATGTACAAGATGTTAAGAGAAGATATCTGGTTGATATACTTGGATACAAGAGGTTTAGATGAAAAAATTACGAGCTTGTGAGTATCAAAAAGAGAGAGCAGAGGTTTGGAACATTGAGCTGGCATCCAGCCCTTGAGAAACGTGTATCACCCCATGAAATACACAAATAACTATTCTGTTATTGTCTCATTGCAAGAACCTTCTCTGTGGGGCTTCCTTTAGGCTCAGTATAGGGACTCTATGGTGGAGGCAGAGAGGTTAGGTCCTTAATATTTGGAACCAGTGCTGGATTTTGTGATTTTATGTCCATTTGGCTGAAAAGCTAAATTCACAACTCATCTCACCAGGTTAGGAGGCCAAGGGGGTTCTTCAGTGCTCGATCCTAGGTCCTGCCTCATTTAGATTAGGCACCTCCTCTCATGCAACAGCTCCTGCCTTCATGCATTGACATATGAAGCCGTGCTCACTGTTTGACCGGTGTCATGGGCGAGGAGGGTATAGGGCTGGTGTTGGACTGGGGCGAGCTTTGGTATGACCGAAGGAGGACCTTGTGCTTGGTGGCCACACCCGCCCGCAGCTTCTGCTGCTTGTCCAGGTAGTCCTTGAGGCATGTGGTGGTGAAGGTGAGGGTCTGCCGCCGCAGTCGAATCAGGTAGGCGTCCTGGAGCCATGAGTTGTTGTAGCAGTTCTTGATGGAAGGACGGGCCCTGAAACAGAGGTCACACCCAGTGTCAAGCAGCCCTAACTCAAAATCACAAACTATCTCATAAGGGATTGGTCATAAATGCGATACGACACAAAAATACTAATTCTATCATTCATTCATTACAGGCTATGGCAGCCATTGGCAGCCATGTTGAACGGGTGTAGGTGTGAAGACTTCAATTCCTCAATCCTGCACTATCTATCAATGGCAGCAAAATATGTGTACAGATCAAGTTAACAACATCCAATGATTGTAATTTTGTGTAGTGAGACAGATGCCATACGGTTGAGAATGCCCCCCTACTTTATTGCAATGTCAAAGAAAAATAAGGACTTACCGATGTCAGTGCGGAAAGTACATAATATAATGAATTGACCAATTCATCAAAAGAAAAGGACACTTAATTTATATAAATTATCAGTTGCGCTTACCAAGGGTAACTACAGAGGACCTTTTTCAAAAACAGAGAGGCACTTTGAGATACGTTCTGGTAGAGTTTGCCCACATCAAACTTGGCTGCCAAGATTCTGGCTTCAGTCTCCTGTGGATCATTCTCCATGAAAGGCAACCTGCCGCTCAGCCTGAAAACGTTTGAAATAGGTTTGACAGAGCACTTGAAATAAACAAACACAGTCAAAGATTGTGCAACTTGAAAACGTTAGAAATGGGTTTGAAATAGGTTTGACAGAGCCCTTGAAATAAACAAATTCACACAGTCAAATATTAATGTGTAACAATTTGTGTATTTAGACATTTAAATGCACTTTAAATAAAGTTAGATGTTATTCATGTAAAGCAGGTGTCCAGCTGTAACACTGTGTAGATGGCCACACTTTTGTTGTCAGTTCCGTTTCAGCTCAGTCAACTCAGGAAATTAATTAATTAAAGAACACCATTACAGAACTGTAAAGAGACAATTCATAAGTCATGAATGGTATTTGAATCAACTGGGAATTGGCTTGAGTTTCAAATTAGTTCAAATGTCATTGGCCCAAAGCCTTGCTCATACTCACATGATGAAGGTCAACACGCCCACACTCCAAATGTCAGCCGAAGGGCCCACCACATCCCCCTTCAACATCTCGGGAGCTTTAGGGAAAGGTTAGGAAAAAGAAAAGAGGTTAGGGAAAGGTTAGGGAGATAACGTTTGGGCATTCAGCTATAGGAGGACACATAAAGGGGCACAACTAAGGTGTGTTTACATACCTGGTATTAACATATGATTTACTGATCAAATATGATTAGATCATTATCTGTTTATCGCTCGGTGCATCTATACATGGTATTATAAGCTGTCTCCTACCGTCTGTGTCGGCATTGTAGCGGTTGACTACAGAGCATTTGCTGCACAGAACACATTTTGATATGTTCAGATTGCCCAAGTTTACAAGTTTTCACCTTCAATAAATATTCTTATACATAAGGATTCCCTATTATACATTTTTGATTGATAAGTTGAATCAGGTACAGTATGTTAGTTTAGGCTAAAATAAAAATGTTCAGCCCGTGTTTCAAACCTCAGGAATGGGTTGAGACACCTTGATTTAGATAATCCTCACGACTTACACATAAACTCCAGAGTTCCAACAGGAGGGTTGAACTGCTTGAGGAAGAGTGGGTTAAAGGTCTGGGCGCTTCCAAAGTCGATGATCTTCACCATGTTCATGTATGTGATGATGATGTTCTCCGGCTTGATGTCTAAGTGCAGGATGCGGCGGTTGTGCAGGTAGTCCAAACCTTGCAGAACCTGAACGATGTAGCCCACCACATCATCCTCTGAGTAGCGGAATCTAGTAGGGGGGGTGAGAGGGACAACAAAGGATGAAAGGGTTGGGGTCAATTTAATTTCAATTTTGTCAATTGAGGAAGTGAACTGAAATTCCAATTCCAATTTCTTGTAATTTGATTTGAATTGAATTTATTTGGGTAAAACAATTATACCACAAGTGGTGCATTGCATCCCCAGAGGATAGCACTTCAATTAAACACTCATTTCCAAAGTGGTCCTTGATGGTAAATTGCTTTTCAATGAGGAAATTAGATGGTACTGACCCCAAACCTGACCCAGGAACACTATACAGAGCAAAAGCAATCATCACGTACAAAAACATATAACCGGAATATGCCATTTATTTCCATTAGTTGATACACCTAAGGATTTGTGCTGTCTGACCTGTCGATAAGGCTGTAGAGGAGCTCTTTCCCACTGCAGCACTCTGAGATGAGCACCAGATAGCGGGGCGTGACGTAGGCCTCGTGCAAAGCCATGATCTTATCGTGGTGGAGGGACTTGAGGATGTTGTACTCCTGCAGCACCGTCTGTTTGTTGTCTGCCTCGTAGGGCACGATCTTAGCCATGAACAGGTTGCCTGTGGCGTTCTCTCTACATTCTCGGATCACGCCGAAGCGGCCCCTTTAAGACAAACAAAGAGACAACAATCTTGAGGTATTATGCTTTATAAGTTGTTATAAGTGTACAAACCTTTAAAATGTCTTATAATGAGGCTTATAATATATGATGTCTCTCTAAATGTATCAACATTACAACTGACTCAATAGTAATTCTAACTGAATTATAGAAAGGTCGATTTCCAGGGGGATGCATAATACAAAAGAATACGTAAATAAATACAATAATAATAATAATAATATGGAAAGACAGTCTTGAGGGAAATGCTGTCTCTAAAATATGAAAGAAGTTGATGTCTTGACTGTTTCCTTCACAGTCATTGTCACGCCCTGACTTATGGGACTCTTGTATGTTGAGTCAGGGTGTGGATATCTATGTTAGTATTTCTATGTTTTCATTCTAGGTTTGTGTTTCTATGTTTGGCCGGGTGTGATTCCCAATCAGAGGCAGCTGTCGCTCGTTGTCTCTGATTGGGGATCATACTTTAGTAGCCTATTGGTAATCATTAGTTGTGGGATCTTGTTCCGTGTATAGGCTTGTATTGTGTTTAGCCTGAGGACGTCACGTCACGTTACGTTGTTTTGTTGGTGTGTTTATTTTGATTAAATAAACATGTATGCATTTCACGCTGCGCCTTGGTCTGACTCGTCCTTCAACGTCCGTGACAGAAGATCCCACCAAACACGCACCAAGCCAGTGGTGCGTGTTCCCAGTCCGGCCCGGCCCGTTCCTGTTCCTCGCACCAGGCCAGTGGTGCGTGTTCCAAGTCCGGTACGGCCCGTTCCTGCTCCTCGCCCCAGACCAGTGGTGCGTGTTCCCAGTCCGGTACGGCCCGTGCCTGCTCCCCGCACCAAGCCAGTGGTGCGTGTCGTCAGTCCGGCCAGCCCGTTTCTGCTCCTCGCACCAAGCCAGTGGTGCGTGTTCCCAGTCCGGTACGGCCCGTGCCTGCTCCCCGCACCAAGCCAGTGGTGCGTGTCACCAGTCCGGCCCGGCCCGTTCCTGCTCCTCGCACCATGCCAGTGGTGTGGGTTCCCAGTCCGGTACGGCCCGTTCCTGCTCCTCGCACCAAGCCAGTGGTGCGTGTTCCTAGTCCGGTCCGGCCCGTGCCTGCTCCTCGCACCAGACCAGTGGTGCGTGTGTCCAGTCCGGCACGGACCGTGCCCGTTCCACCGGTGCCTGGTCCGGCACTGGTCAGCTGCTCCACTCCGGAGCCAGAGCAGTCCGCTCCACCGGTGCCTGATCCAGCTCTGGTCGGTTGCTCCACTCCGGAGCCAGAGCAGTCCGCTCCACCGGTGTCCAGTCTAGCTCCGGTCAGCAGTTCCACTCCGGAGCCAGAGCATTCCGCTCCACAGGGGTCCAGTCCAGCTCCGGTCAGCTGCTCCACTCCGGAGCTAGAGCAGTCCACTCCACCGGTGCCTAGTCCAGCTCCGGTCAGCGGCTCCACTCCGGAACCAGAGCAGTCCGCTCCACCGGGGTTTAGTCCAGCTCCGGTCAGCAGCTCCACTCCGGAGCCAGAGCAGTCTGCTCCACCGGTGCCCAGTCCAGCTCCGGTCAGCAGCTCCAGTCCAGACCCAGACATCAGCCACGCTCCAGGTTCGGGGTCTCCCACACCAGGGCCCAGACAGGGCTTGGTGCATCGTGGGAGGAAGGAGAGGGGAAGCAGCGCGCCGAGGTCCAGACCAGACCAGGGGCGCAACGGGGAGGCTGAGATGTGGTCGTCACGCCCGGAGCCGGATCCGCCTCCGAGGCGGAATGCCCACCCGGACTCCTACCCTGTTATGTCAGGTTTGTGCGGTCGGAGTCTGCACCTTTGGGGGGGGGGGGGGGGGGACTGTCACGCCCTGACTTATGGGACTCTTGTATGTTGAGTCAGGGTGTGGATATCTATGTTAGTATTTCTATGTTTTCATTCTAGGTTTGTGTTGCTATGTTTGGCCGGGTGTGATTCCCAATCAGAGGCAGCAGTCACTCGTTGTCTCTGATTGGGGATCATACTTTAGTAGCCTATTGGTAATCATTAGTTGTGGGATCTTGTTCGTGTATAGACTTGTATTGTGTTTAGCCTGAGGACTTCACGTTACGTTGTTTTGTTGTTTTCTTCGTGTGTTTATTTTGATTAAATAAACATGTATGCATTTCACGCTGCGCCTTGGTCTGACCCGTCCTTCATCGTCCGTGACAGTCATTACCCCATTCAATGTTATAACCCTGAAATTGCACAGCATTGAAGAGAAAACTAAAATCTATGCAGCTGTTTGCATGGGTTACTTTCTTGTATAGGTTACACAGTTCAATAAACCACTGTGGGAGCCTAATCCCTGAGCATATCACAGTGGGAGCATTGTGGACATTACTTTTTCCATACTTCCATTACCTGGCCTTCTCATTCATGAAGGTGTATGGTTTCTGGGGCACTCCCTGGAGCAGGGTGCTCTCACCAGGGCGTCCCCCCAAGGGCGTCCTTCGTCCTGACGGCGTCATACGTGTGGGTGTAACCCCACCCTCCCCTACCGGACTCATGCTGGAAACTAGCACCACTGGGGGTGAGATGGCGGGGGAGGGGGTGGAGAGGAAGGGTGAGGTGACACGTGCTGTGGCAGCCAGTATTGGTGCATACATGGGCACAGACAAAATGGGTTTACCGATGGTGGGCGGAGGGGCCACGAGTGGGGGCCGAGTCTTAATCATGGGCGAGACGATATTGACGGGACTCTGGGGTTTGGGGAGAACGATAGGGGGAGCGAGCTTGGTTATGGTTGCTAATTGAGACGGTGTCGGTTTCGTGACGTTGATGTTGATGTTGAGGGTGGTCTTTGCTTTGGCCGGGGCTGGGGCGGGCTGAGCCGGAGCCGGGCTTTGGATCTCAGGGATGGCCCGGTGGGACGGGACCGCACTAATAATCATGGGGGTGGAGGCAGTGCTGGTTGGGGTCTGAGGGACTAAGGGTTTGGAATCAATAGGTTTAGAAGCGGGGGTAGAAGCGATAGGTTTGGCCGCTGGTACAGCAGAAGAGGGAGCGGCAGCGGAGGGGGACAGTGTCTGTCTGGATGGGGCAAAAGATGGGACAGGGTGCACCACTTTACTAGGCGCAGGCTTCATGGAGGGGACGGTCATTGTTGCCGTTTTGACCACTGGTGCGGCAGGGACTGTCTTCACAATGACTGATCCACTGGATTTTGTTGTCACTGTTGATTCAGAATAACACAGTTTTTAGTGTCACTTTTTTCCCCCTCTCGTACAATGCTATGAAAAAGACTTTGCTATGACACTTTCATATTTGATGGAGAGAATAAGAGTTTACAGGAGTTTGTCAATCTCCAAGTGCCTTAAGTACATCATACTGTACATGTGTGCAAACATTTAAACCACATGGAATGTATGACAGAAAACACTCAATGAACTTGAAGTGATATATTACTATTCATATGACTATTAGGTCTTCATACATGAAAGTAGTACATACCTGAGGCGTCCAGGCACACTACCTCTGAGAGGTTACTGTAGGGTCCTTGGCCTGCCTTGTTCACACATGCCACTCTAAACCTGAAGGCGCCCCCTCCTGCCAAGTCAACCACATTGTAGTAACAGTCAGCCACTCCAGTGGCCACGATGAGCCAGTTACTCTCAGCTGGGGGAGAAAGAACATAGACATATATTTTTACGTGTTCATGTTAATAAATAATTAAGAAATTATACAACTGCATTTGGACAGTATGGCTTTAAATTTTGACTTTGAAATTATACTAATGAAGTAGTATATGTGTGTGTGTGTGGCTGAATCCCAAATCACCCCCTTCCCCTTCCCTCGCCCCTCAGCTCTACATTTGCACGTTCACGCGTGCCTCCGCCATATGCACAAGCTGAGGGAGTGAAAATTATAGAGGGTGTAGGGGCTAATTAGACCCTCCGATAGCTACTGCAAACAAGCCAGCAAGGCAACAGGCTCCAGAACGAAGTGGTATCCCAACTGTTTTGTATGGTGTTTATTCTATACAAGAGCAAGGTAATGTTGATTATAAGGTCTTTGCTTCACCATCACTCTGTTGCATGCATACAGCTCCATTCAGTGCATAGTAAGTAATGCCTAACTTGGCTCACTAGGACTATTTAGTATCACACTCAGATACACATAACAGCAGCGCCATCTATTGGCTTGGCGACATCTCGTAACACCAACAGTTTGCGCAATTTCATACAAAATAATCGAGAGTCGTGCCTAATTATATGCTACGTGCATTTGTTTTTATCTGATTTCAAAGCTTGACACAATACCTCCCAAATTAAATGTTTAACTGTTACAGAGGTTTATATCTTATAAAACGACAGGGGGAATTTGTTAATTTATTTGAATGTGGAACATGAATTGCATCATTCAAGTCACAAGTGTGTCCTGAAGTTGATGGGTTTATTGATCTCCTCGCCACTCTCTGAAAGTCTCCCTCTGAGTTTCGTCAGCAACATGTGAAAACGGAGGGCCCTCTGAGCGAGTTGGTAGGGCCGAGGGGGTGGTTTGGGACACCATGACTCACCCTCTGCTTTTCTCTCCAGAGAGTAGGTGCAGGGGGCCATAGTGTCTGAGGGCTTCCAGAGGACCAGGGCAGTGTTCTTATAGCGCTGGGGAACCTCGGGAGTCCCAGGACGATTGGGTAGACCTATGAGGGCAGAGAGGTATTATCATCATTGCAACTCAGTCCTGTTCAATCGAAACCAATAAATGTGTTTAAAAATAATACCGCCTTAGGTAAAGAAGATTGTCAGTTGCGAGAGAGTTTGTCTAAAGATCCATATCAAGTTGATGGTAATTCATTTGGTATCATTTTGTGAAGAAACAGAATTCAAAAGGAATTATCGCTAATCTAGAGTAGGTTAGTTGGGACAACTGAGCTGGCCAAGAGGTGTATCCACACCTAAATAATAGAAAGGGAAACATTGTCATATAGAAAACCAACAAATAACCATGAAATTCTCTCTCTCTCTCTCTCTCTCTCTCTCTCTCTCTCTCTCTCTCTCTCTCTCTCTCTCTCTCTCTCTCTCTCTCTCTCTCTCTCTCTCTCTCTCTCTCTCTCTCTCTCTCTCTCTCTCTCTCTCTCTCTCTCTCTCTCTCTCTCACGCACAGACACACAATCTTGCCCTCTCTGATTCGTGTGACTCTAACTCACAAGTGAGGGAGAGGGTACAGGAGCTGGAGACCGAAGCCAGGGGGTTGGTGGCTACACACTCATACAGCCCTGCATCCTTCTTGGTGGTCGTCATGATCATCAGCCGCTGCCTGCCATCAGGACAGGAGATCATGTTCATTCTGGCATCAATCTGCAGAGGCTTCTTATCTGAGAAGGAAGAAAAAGGTACACTTTACTTAAAGCCAACAGATATAATGCATTATGATGCAGTTATAATGCATTGTAAGACTTGTTACACAGAGGCTGGAGGCTAGAGGTGGATTTTACATTTAGCTCTTATAATAAGCTTTTACCTTTCATCCAGGAGATGTGTGGGTGGGGGCTGCCAGCTGGGAGGCAGCTAAGGGTGATGGGATCTCCCTCCAGCAGGGCGTAGTCCCTCAACTTGATGTGGAACACTGGAGGGTAGTCTGGAGGAGAGACACATTGGAAATGTGATTAAGAATTAAGAACAATGGGCATCATTTCAATCCATTTTAAGCAGTCCTTTGTTTACCTGGCTGCTGTCATCAAATGCTAATAAAGTATTTTTGTCCAAAAACCTATGTAATTCAATATCCCCCTGTGTCTCTAGAACACCTGGATTTGTTGGCGAGGGATTGCGCTGCCCCTTTCTGGTGGGCACTTTGTGTGATTGAGATTAAGGGATGTTTTCAGAGGCGGAGATCTCACAACAGAAAGGGCACCATTTTGTGGGCTTTTAAAAACAGTCCCATAACTAGCTATGGCCGACAAAAAAATATATATTGCTTGATATGTTTTTCATAGATTGCTAGCTAGTCTCTTTCAACAGCTGTGTAAATCAACATGCTGTTGAGACTGACAAGTGAGTTTACACTAGCAAGCTACTTTACAGTGCCTTCGGAAAGCATTCAGACCCCTTGACTTTTTCCACATTTTGTTAGGTTACAGCCTTATTCTAAAATGGATTAAATAGTTTTTCCCCCTCATCAATCTACACACAATCCCCATAATGACAAAGCAAAAACTGTTTTTTAGACATTTTGCTAATTTATAAAAAAAAAAAAAAAAAAATGTCACATTAACATTAGTATTCAGACCCTTTACTCAGTACTTTGTTGAAGCACCTTTGGCAGCGATTACAGCCTCGAGTCTTCTTGGGTATGACGCTGCAAGCTTGGCACACCTGTATTTGGGGAGTTTCTTCCATTCTTCTCTGAAGATCCTCTCAAGTTCTGTCAGGTTTGATGGGGAGCGTCGCTGCACAGCTATTTTCAGGTCTCTCCAGAGATGTTCGATAGGGTTCAAGTCCGGGCTCTGGCTGGGCCACTCAAGGACATTCAGAGACTTGTCCCGAAGCCAGTCCTGCGTTGTCTTGGCTGTATGCTTAGGGTCGTTGTCCTGTTGGAAGGTGAACCTTCGCCCTAGTCTGGGATCCTAAGCACTCTGGAGCAGGTTTTCATCAAGAATCTCTCTGTGCTTTGCTCCGTTCATCTTTGCCTCGATCCTGACTAGTCTCCCAGTCCCTGCCGGTGAAAAACATCCCCACAGCATGATGCTGCCACCACCGTGCTTCACCGTAGGGATGGTGCCAGGTTTCCTGCAGACGTGACGTTTGGCATTCAGGCCAAAGAGTTCAATCTTGGTTTCATCAGACCAGAGAATCTGGTGGTCTGAGAACCTTTAGGTGCCTTTTGGCAAACTCAAAGCGGGATGTCATTTGCCTTTTACTGAGGAGTGGCTTCCGTCTGGCCACTCTACCATAAAGGCCTAATTGGTGGAGTGCCTGACCAAGGCCCTTCTCCCCCGATTGCTCAGTTTGTCCGGGCGGCCAGCTCTAGGAAGAGTCTTGGTGGTTCCAAACTTCTTCCATTTAAAAATGATGGAGGGCACTGTTTTCTTGGGGACCTTCAATGCTGCAGAAATGTTTTGGTACCCTTCCCCAGATTCTAAAAACCTGTTTTTGCTTTGTCATTATGGGGTATTGTGTGTAGATTGCTGAGGAAATTGTTTTATTTAATCAATTTTAGAATAAGGCTGTAACGTAACAAAATGTGGAAAAAGTCAAGGGGTCTGAATACTTTCCGAAGGCACTGTATGTACAATCTTGAACAAATGCACCTCAATAGCTAGCTTGCTTAACTAACTGTGACTGATTTTAACATTAGCTAATGTGGTAATGTAACAGCTATTCTCCACACCTCCGAATTCAATTTGTAGAAGGGAGGACTATAGCTTATTAGCTAACTTGATAGCTGGATAATGTTTCTACAACTAGCCAGGTGAGCAAATGTTAACCTAGCTAGCTAACTACAGTGACACGTTGACAACAGGCAGTACTCATACTCAGGGGGAGGAAAAAGTTCAGTGGTGTTGCTGCTTGCTTGGGCCAATTGAATAATGCAGAAATCAGGACAGTTAAAATCAACTTAATTGAGCTACACAATCAATTTGAGACACTTAGGGATAATTTTGGCATGACATTTAACATATGCTAATTTGGGGTACATTGACTGGCATTGTTTTTTGGACAAAATTGCTGGAGTTAACATTTAGTTACAACAGCCAGGTAAACAAAACCAAGGCATTATCATGGATTGCTGTTTCTCCTTGTCCACTGACTGCTGACTGCTTACAGGGTAAGGAAACCAATATGAAATATTGTAATTTGGATGAACTTTAAGAAATTAAGGACTTTAAGGATTACTAGATGCCAGTCTGGAGTATGAGCGGGAGTGTAGGGAGTCATTCTCTCTGGCAATAGCCGTGGGGATATCAGGCTGTGATACCGTCTTGTCCTTCTTGCTGCCTCTGGTTAGGCCCCAACGGTCCCATCGGGACCTACGTTCGCCCTCTGCCCCTGCCGGAGGGAACAAATATATCTCAAACTGAAATCAACAGAAATAGTAATTAAGAAAAAACGTGAGGTTAGCACACATAGGGAAGCCTCTTTGGGAAGATATATTTTTTTCTTGTATGTCATCTCAGTATGTAAGAACAAAGGTTTGGTTGATGAAGGGCGTGGGAGGGTTTGCATAATTGTAAAAAACAATGTGTTATAATTCTTCTGACATGTACCAGTCCTCTGAGTCAATAAAAATAAATTGTTCAAGAACCTGCATCCTTAAAATTGGATTCAAGCACTGCAAAATAGTGACATTGAATCTGTGCAGTGAAACTGCACCTTTTCATTGTTAAAGTTATGTTTTGTCTAATTCTTCTGAGTAATCATCTTGAAATGAAACATATGACCTTTTCAGGTGCAGGGGGAATATGTTAATTCAAAATAAATTGTATCTCTATATTTGATTGAATGTTTTCAAAGGGAAGAAGTCTCGTACCCTTGGATGCTTTCTCCGACTTGATGCTGAACATGGATTCCAGGGACTCTGAGGAGGCTCCGGTGCCTGACTGAGAAGCCAGCTGGTTCTGAGGGATACCGGATCCAGCCATACTCTTAAGGTTACGTCCCTCAGAAGTCGACCTGCGTAGAATGGAGAATAGGGGTGTCTTCTTGCTCTCTGGCTTGTTGGCTTCCCTCTCCTCGGTCGCTACTCTTCTCTCCTCCGAGGCACTGCGGATCCTCATGGATATTCCGGACACCGTTGACTCGATATTCCTATGCATGACCATGACCAGTGACTCGTTGGGCTTTTTCTGCTCCTTGACCTCCTGCTTTACCTTGTCTTCCATTCCCCTATCCATCCTCATCATCTCCACCTCCTTCCTCTCCTGGGAATGGGATCCTCTTCGGCCGCGGAGAGCCCAGGAGAGCCGGCGCCTGGGAGCCACCGGTTCTTTCTTTTTGGGCTTTTCTTCCTTGCGTTCAGTTGACGGAGTCCTCTTGAGGCGCAAGGAAAGCCTCCTCATGAAGCCTTGGTCCTTCTGGGCCTCGCGAAGATCCTGCACTGACTTGGACTTCTCCTCCAGTCTCCTGGGGACAAACTCCAATGGCGCTCCAATGGGCCCAGGGCGGTATACATCTTCACCTGACTCGGCAGAGTCCAAAGAGGCTACTGGTTTATCCTCAGGCTTTGACCAGTTGAGAAGCTGCAGGCCTCGCGTTAGGGAAGACTCACGCTTTTTGAAGCGGGCCTCAAATACTTCCTCAGAGGCAATGTCCTGGAGGTTTTGTCCCACTGGCGAGAGCTCACACTGGGGCGTAGGGCGTGGGGAAACCTTGGGTGTACTCGATTCTTTGGGCTCAGGGGATGCCACCCTTGAAAAGACTGCAGGGTGTTCCCCTGGTGTAGATAGCAGATTGACTAGCTTCTTTGGGCCAGAGACAGGTGTAGGTGTGGGTATAAATGTTGGTGCTAGAAATGAGGCTTGTGCAAGGACTGGAACAACCACAGGGGTGGAGTCTGCTAACGGGGGGCTAACTAGGTGCTGAAGCAATGGGACCATGATGGTCTGCATTATGCTAGCGTACGCAGAGGTCCTACCATCTGGGAGCACAGTTAGGGCAGGTGGAGAGGGAGTCACAACATTTGTTGGTGCCCTTGAAAATGCTGGTGCTGGCGTGACCCTATTAGAACTTGTAGTAATGACCATCTCAGAAGATTTCACTGGTGCCTTCACTTCCTCTTCTAATTCTTTGACTTCTTTTTGTATTTCTTTGTGTGCTTCCTCAACTTCCCTAGCTTTTGGTTCAACAACAGGAACAGCCTCATTTTCCTTAATCTCTTCTTTCTCCTTCTCCATTTGTTCCTCTAATGTAAGAACCCTCACAGGAGGGCTATACTTCCTCCAAGGAGGGATAGGCTCCCTCGGGGCCACGTACTCTGGTTCAATCATTGCTTTTTCTGACATGCTCATGTCCTTCTCTGAGAAACCACTTGTGCTCGATCTCTTGTCTGCATTACTGTCTGTGGTCACGCCATCAGTTTTTTCACCAATTGTCTTAATCTCCTTGTCTATTGACGAGTCCTCTTCCTCCATCTTGGTTTTTGTATCCTGTTCCCTAGGCACTGGGCTTGGTGTGGGAAGTTTAGGGGAAGGTTCCCTGGGAGTCACGGGGCAGGAGTCATTTTTGAATGGCTCAGTGAGAGCAGACATGGATATGGCCTCCTTGAGCCTTCGCTCCTCTATCTGAGCCAGCGGGATTTCCAGTGGTGCCCCGGTGCGTCGGTGCAGGGGAATGGGCTCTGCATCATCTCCTTGACTGAAGGAGGCGCTCTTGCGAAATAATTTGGGTTTGAGCACGTCCTCTCTGGGCTCGTCGCTGGAGGCTGCCTTGGTTAAAGGAGGAACCCATAAGCGGGGAGCGCGCGAGTAGCGCTCCAGCAAAGACAACCGCTGCTTTCCATCGTCCATACCCAGTGTCTCCAGCAGGGGTCCTCGCAGGCCGCTCATCTTCTTGTCCACGGAGCCACCTCGGAGCAACCTCTGCCTCATCAGCTCCAGTTTGTGAGCATAGTCCTCCTGACTCATAGGACCTGGGCTCACGCTCCTCCTAGGCAGCTCCATGGATACCGCCTTTTTGAGGACTCGCCGGCCTTTCTCAGTGATTTCCTCGTCTGTGCTATCTTCTGGAACAATGTGGAGTAGCAGTGCGCTGTCAGCAGAGCCCCCTCTATGCAGCTTCCCCCTTCTGGGTCCTCCCTCTGGCTTGTCCGACTCCAAGCTCGAGCCTCTGTGCAAGGTCCTTCTTGCCTTCTCAGATACTTGCGCCAACTCTGCCAACTCCTCATCCGAAGACCCCTTGTCGTTTTCTTGCGTCAACCTTTTCCTGGCACGCCCCCTACCTGCGGAATCTCCAGCCTCTTTTTCTTTCCCTGTGGATTCACACTCCATCACATCTTGGCCATGAGTGACTGCAAACCCTGGCCTATCAATGGTGCTGTTTGGCCGTCCTTTGCCTTCCTGATCTTCCTGGATCTCATTTAGAGACATTCTTGATCCGGAGAACTCCATGGTGAGTGGCATTGGAATGAAGGGCAGCTCGTCAATGTCTTCGTCGGAGTCAGAGGACGATGATGGTGGGGGTGAGCCCTCTTTCAGGTGTCTGGGAACAGCGATGGAGATGTGGCTGGATGAGTCATTCAGCAACTCAGTGATGGACCTCATGACCATTTTGGATTTGTAGCTGATAAGGGACCGCTGCAAAAGACGGACATAACCAAATATAAGATGGAAGCAGACACAATTCAATAAAAAAAAATAAACACGCTTTGATGACAGACCTGCCACTTTCGGCGAGACACAAACTTCTTGAGGGTCTCTGTGCTTATGGCCTTCCCCTTGGTAAGGGTCTGTATGAAAAAATAAAGACAGAATAGATTAGAATGTGTTACTCAATATCTTACCAAATTACATTACATGACCAAAAGTATGTGGACACCTGCTTGTCGAACATCTCATTCCAAAATCATGGGCATTAATATGGAGTTGGTCCCCTCTTTGCTGCTATAACAACCTCCATTCCTCTGGGAAGGCTGTCCACTAGATGTTGGAACATTGCTGTGGGGACTTGCTTCCATTCGGCCACAAGAGCATTAGTGAGGTCGGGCACTGATGTTGGGCGATTAGGCCTGGCTCACAGTCAGTGTTCCAATTCATGCCAAAGGTGTTCGGTGGGGTTGAGGTCAGGGCTCTGTGCAGGCCAGTCAAGTTCTTCCACACAGATCTCGACAAACCATTTCTGTATGGGATGTCTAGAATGTCATTGTATGCTGTAGCGTTACGTTTTCCCTTTACTGGAACTAAGAGGTCTAGAGCGAACTATGAAAAACAGCCCCAGACCATTATTCCTCCTCCACCAAACTTCACAGTTGGCACTATGCATTGGGGCAGGTGGCGTTCTCCTGGCATCCGCCAAACCCAGATTCGTCTGTCGGATTGCCAGATAGTGAACCGTGATTCATCACTCCAGAGAACGCGTTTCCACTGCACCAGAGTCCAATGGCGGCAAGCTTTACACCACTCCAGCAGACACTTGGCATTGAGCATGGTGATCCTAGACTTGTGTGAGGCTGCTCTGCCATGGAAACCCATTTCATGAAGCTCCCAACACACAGTTATTGTGCTGACGTTGCTTCCAGAGGCAGTTTGGAACTCGGTAGTGTGTGTTGCAATCGAGGACAGATGATTTTTACACGCTACGCGCTTCAGCAGCCGGCGGTCCCGTTCTGTGAGCTTGTGTGGCCTACCACTTTGTGGCTGAGCCGTTGTTGCTCCTAGACGTTTCCACTTCACAATAACAGCACTTACAGTTGACTGGGGCAGCTCTAGCAGGGCAGAAATTTTACGAACTGACTTGTTAGAAAGGTGGCATCCTATGACGGTGCCACGTTGAAAGTCATTAAGCTCTTCAGTAAGGCCATTCTACTGCCAATGTTTGTCTATGGAGACTGCATGGCTGTGTGCTTGATTTTATATCCCTGTCAGCAACGGGTGTGGCTGAAATAGCTGAATCCACTAATTTGAAAGGATGTCCACATACTTTTGTATATATAGTGTATATAAGGCATCTCAAGTCAGAACAGATCCCTGAAGCAATTATGTTTGTTATGCGTCACATATGAGTCAAAGTTTACATGTCTCACCTTGAACCATGGATGACGGAGACCCTCTTGTGTGTCAGGCCTCCTAAAGGATGACATGATTCCATTTTACATTTGATTTCTAGTTAGGCCGAAGAAGCCCACAAATGTATAAGAACTAAAGAAACGTGAATCTAGAAGGGACAAATCCTATCTTGATATCTGCAACTCAAATTGTCTTGAACATTTATTCAATCAAACGCATGATTTACCTGAAATTTGAAATAGCACATGGACATCTCAAGTTTTGGCCTGAACATGTTAAAATCTATAGTTGCCACTCACAGTCTGTCTGCCACCAGCAGTTTGATGATGAATCCCTTGGCTTCTCGGCACATGTCAGCGAACATACTCTCCTCAAAGGCCACATTGTAGTTCCTGATGTTGAGCACGGAGCTGTGGTCATTCTCTCCAGCAAACGGAGACACTCCAGTCAGGCTGAAATGCAGAAACACCTGTGAACTTCTCTTCCTCTCACTAATTGTTCACTGATTTCAAGAGCCATGTTCCAATATTATTACAGGTCGATGAGGGGGCAAATCTGGCATGTTTGATAGGTTCTCTCTAATAGCAACACAAATAGGAATCAACAGCTACATATGTGGTGTTTATTTATCCATTGGCTTGTAAAGTGTGCATATGCATAAGTCCATGCTTAAGTTGTAATTAATAATCTTATGATTGGTTTTGTAATCACTGTACAGACACACCAAATTTAAGACACATTTAACGTGTACCTACCACAGATATGTGATGACTCCAATCGGCCTGGGAAGAAAAAAAGATAATTAGAGAGGATCCATTTGTGATATGTATAAAGTTTTTAACACTTTCATGGCCTTCAGCATTTTTACCAGATGTCAGTTGCCTTGGACACAGGAGTTTGGTTTACAATTTCTGGGGCAACAAATTCTGGTGTTCCATATTTGCAGTACTGAGCCTCATCGGGTGTGAGCTCTATGGCGTTTCCGAAATCACAGATGCGGATCTGATCGCCATGGGGGTCTGCCATGAGGATGTTATCAGGCTAGGGGGAAACCCAAAACCTTGTTATTGACAAATTACTGCATTCAGGGGTAAATATTCCTTGTCTAAACACATACCTGCAATACAAAAAACCACAGTACTACCCAGAATACCTTTCTTTTAAGTCAAGACGTGTTTACCTTTATATCCAGATGAACAATATTTTGATGGTGAAGGTAGTCCACACCCTCCAGCAACTGTCTCATACAGGAGCGGATCTGCAGGTGTACCAAGCATAGGTATTTGTTACAGTCATTACTGTATGTTACATTTTGTAAAGATATTATGGGAGACACAAATTCTTATACAATAAGAGACACAGGGTGGTTTGGTCATATCAAGTTTTACACAAGGTCACATTTACTCCTGTAAAAGTGTGTGGATTTACTTGGTTTCTTTGTATCTGCTCAGAGAATAATTCTAGGGGCCAGGTTGGTTGCTACAGGCAAGAGTTCAAGGATCTTACAATAGAGGTCACTGTTTCTCATGACCCCATAATGAAGTGCCTTCCCAAAAAAACATATTCTGGCAAACAGTTGTGGCAAATCTTTGGGTAATTTGTTGCTTGCTCATATTTTCACAGGCAAATACATTTTGTGGCAAACTGTTGCAGCAAATTTGTCGTGACTTGTGAACTTCTGGCAAACAATTCTGGGAAACCTGTGGCAAACATTCTACTGTTTGCTGCATATTTGCTGCAAACCCATTATGAATATGTAATGTTTATTAACAACATTGAAATGGCGTATATACACAACCAAATTGCATATAACTTTAAATGAACTTGCTGCTCACAGAAAAAACGAAACATACTAAATGTACTAAATATACAAAACAATATGTATTCAATGTCTTAATAGAGAAAAATAAATCCAATATAACTTGAAATCATCAGCATGCTAATGAAAAAAAGAGCAAAGACTGAATATTTCCCTTATAAATTGTTTTAATCCTCTTATGTAGCTACAACATTTACATGAGATACATTTTTAAACTATATGGATGTTGACCTTAGGATGTTTAAAAGGGCAACTACTGCATTTTCATGAGCCAAGTGATAACTGAGCAATGAGCTTTCAACCAATGGATGTTTAAAAGATAATTAACAAAATTGAAATAATTGAAAAAACTAAAACAAAATCAAACCCAGTTCAGAACTATTGGCTTTTTGAGTGAACTTTGGAGCTGGCGGCCCTGTGGAAGTCCTTTGTCCAAAGCTTGTTGAATGCATGCGCTGAAACAATCAGAAAACACAAAACAAAACAACATTAGGATACTGAAAACAATTACTGAATCTTAAAAAGGTAGGCTTTGGAAAAACGGGGTCAGCTGTTACAAAGTTGCCTTGATGTTGCTATGCTTCTCACTAAAACTGGCATTATCTATATTTTTCAGCAATTAAACAATGTTTCTGCCTTGTATAAATGCTATATAAACAAATGACTTAACTAGAATAAACTGGGACTTAGGCCTACTAAATCTACCTTTAAATGTGTGGCCAACTGTTCCTAGAGAGCCAGAGTATAAAAGATTTGCACAATTGATTCAAACTAATCAACTAATTATGATATTCAACCTAGACCGTTGTCTACTATTTGTCTCTTCTTCCTGACTCAGGTGTATAAGGCTTGGGTGGAAGAAAAGTAACATAAAATTGAGTTGTGCCTAATATTGCAATTAGGCATTAATTGTTCCAAAATTAATTATTGTTAACTTACATCTCAAAGTCATGCATGCAAGAATCCAAGATGGCATAGCAGTGCGGTCGTGTATTATGTTGTGTCCTCGTGTAAATAGCCTGTTTATTTTATTTTTATTTTTTATTTTTTCGTATATATTTCTCTATCTCACTTTCCATCCTTAACTAAATATACTTTCCTGCAACCCGCCTCACCCAATGTGGAACGGATTCTATTATTTCTTCATACCTTTTATCAAGAACCCATGGCTGAAACTAGCCAGCTAACTAGCTACTTGCTATTAGCTACTGCTATTAGCCACCGTTAGCGGTCTTCACCACTGTCCGTGGCCTGCACTACCTACCAGCCAGCTCTAGCCTGGACAATTATCGGCCAGTCTGCACAGCGTGCTATCGACCCAGAGCATTTCGGATTTTCTGCCGGAATCACTGAATCACTGGACCTTAACACCGGATCATCACAACTAGCTAGCTGCAACCGAATGGATGTTGTTGTTGGCTAATCACCACTAATCACCACTTGTCCCAAAGCTAGCACCAGTTAGCCTTGAGCTAGCCTCGAGCCAGGCCCATCTCCCGGCTATCCACCTCTCTGTCAACCGGACGGGACCTCCTAGTTTCGACACGGAGCCCCGCCGATCCATCACGACTGGCTTGCCGACGTAATCGTCTGATGTGGTTTCAACAGGCTTCCAATTGCAACGACCATGAAGATCCATCTTCTAGCACTGGCCCACTAGCACGCGCAATCAACAGCCATGCCTCCTGCTCGCCTGTGCTGTAGCAGCCTACGAACTGCTCCCGGACTTACCTATTGCTGTTCCCTGGACCTTATGATGCCCGCAGGACTGTTCCTTTACACGGTACCCCATCCTGTTTATCTGTTTAGCCTCAGCCCAAACTTTCGTTGCCATTACCAGTTGTTGTCTTAGCCCTCTCGAATAACACCTGTGATTGCGTTATGCCTCTCTCCCATGTCAATATGCCTAGCCTATTGCTGTTTGGGTTAGTTGTTATTGTACTATTTCACTGTAAAGCTACCAGTCCCGCTCAACCTGCCTCAGATAGCTGTTGTCCCACACCCCATACACGCGGAGACCGGCTCAATCGTTACCTCCAGTGATGCTATCTCTTTCATCGTTACCCAATGCTTAGGTGTACCTCCACTGTACTCATATCCTTCCATATCCTTGTCTGTACTTAATGCCCTGAATCTATTCTACAACGCCCGGAAATCTTCCCTGTTTATTCTCTGTACCCAACGCACTAGAAGACCAGTTCTTAAAGCCTTTAGCCGTATACTTATTCTATTCCTCCTCTGTTCCTCTGGTGATGTAGAGGTTAACCCAGGCCCTGTAGCCCCCAGTATCACTCCTACTCCCCAGGCGCTATCATTTGTTGACTTCTATAACCGTAAAAGCCTTGGTTACTTGCATGTTAACATCAGAAGCCTCCTCCCCAAGTTTGAGTTATTCACTGTGTTAGCACACTCTGCCAACCCTGATGTTCTAGCAGTGTCTGAATCCTGGCTTAGAAAGGCCACCAAAAATTCAGACATTTCCATCCCGAACTACAACATTTTCCATCTAGATAGAACTGCCAAAGGGGGCGGAGTTGCAATCTACTGTAGAGATAGCCTGCAGAGCTCTATCATACTATCCAGGTCTGTGCCCAAACAGTTTGAGCTTCTACTTCTAAAAATCCACTTTTCCAGAAATAAGTCTCTCACTGTTGCCGCTTGCTACAGACCCCCCTCAGCCCCCAGTTGTGCCCTGGACACCATTTGTGAGTTGCTTGCTCCCCATATATCCTCAGAGTTCGTACTGCTTGGTAACCTAAACTGGGATATGCTTAACCCCCCGGCCGTCCTACAATCTAAACTAGATGCCCTCAATCTCACACAAATTATCAAGGAACCTACCAGGTAAAACCCTAAATCCGTAAACATGGGCACCCTCATAGATATCATCCTGACTAATTTACCCTCTAAATACACCTCCGCTGTCTTCAACCAGGATCTCAGCGATCACTGCCTCATTGCCTGCGTCCGTAATGGGTCCGTGGTCAAACGACCACACCTCATCACTGTCAAACGCTCCCTAAAACACTTCAGCAAGCAGTCCTTTCTAATTGACCTGGCCCGGGTATCCTGGATGGATATTGACCTCATTCCGTCAGTAGAGGATGCCTGGATGTTCTTCAAAAGTGATTTCCTCTCCATCTTAAATAAGCATGCCCCATTCAAAAAATTCAGAACTAAGAACAGATAAAGCCCCTGGTTCACCCCAGACTTGACTGCCCTTGACCAGCACAAAAACATCCTGTGGCGTACTGCATTAGCATCGAACAGCCCCCGCGATATGCAACTTTTCAGGGAAGTCAGGAACCAATATACAAAAATCAGTTAGGAAAGCAAAGGCTAGCTTTTTCAAACAGAAATTTGCATCCTGTAGCACTAACGCTAACTAAAAGACTTCTCAACAGCTTCTACCCCCAAGCCATAAGACTCCTGAACAGCTAATCATGGCTACCCGGACTATTTGCACTGCCCCCCACCCCATCCTTTTTACGCTGCTGCTACTCTGTTAAGTATTTATGCATAGTCACTTTAACTCTACCCACATGTACATATTACCTCAACTACCTCAACTAGCCGGTGCCCCCGCACATTGACTCTGCAACAGGACCCCCCTGTATATATAGCCTCCCTACTGTCACTTTATTTTACTGTATATATAGCCTCCCTACTGTCACTTTATTTTACTTCTGCTATTTTTTTTCTCAACACTTTTTTTGTTGTTGTTTTATTCTTACTTTTTTTGTTTAAATAAATGCACTGTTGGTTAAGGGCTGTAAGTAAGCATTTCACTGTAATGTCTGCACCTGTTGTATTCGGCGCATGTGACCAATAAAATTTGATTTGATTTGATAACTCCAAAAAGTTTTGGGACACTGTAAAGTCCATGGAAAATAAAAGCACCTCCTCCCAGCTACCCACTGCACTGAGGTTAGGAAACACTGTCACCACCGATAAATGTACGATAATCGAGAATTTCAATAAGCACTTTGCTTTCTTATTGGCAGACTAAATAGCCTTGGTTTCTCAACTGACTGCCTCGCCTGGTTAACCAACTACTTCTCAGATAGAGTTCAATGTGTCAAATCGGAGGGCCTGTTGTCTGGACCTTCTGGCAGTCTCTATGGGGGTGCCACAGGGTTCAATTCTCGGGCCGACTCTATTCTCTGTGTATATCAATGATGTCGCTCTTGCTGCTGGTGACTCTCAGATCCACCTCTACGCAGACGACACCATTTTGTATACATCTGGCCCTTCATTGGACACTGTGTTAACAAACCTCCAAGCGAGCTTCAATGCCATACAACATTCCTTCTGTGGCCTCCAACTGCTCTTAAACGCTAGTAAAACTAAATGCATGCTCTTCAATCGAACGCTGCTTGCACCCGCCCGCCTGACTAGAATCACTACTCTCGGCGGGTCTGACTTAGAATATGTGGACAACTACAAATACCTAGGTGTCTGGTTAGACCGTAAACTCTCCTTCCAGACTCACATTAAGCATCTCCAATCCAAAGTTAAATCTAAAATTGGCTTTCTGTTTTACAACAAAGCCTCCTTCACTCATGCTGCTAAACATGCCCTCGTAAAACTGACTATCCTACCGATCCTCGACTTCGGCGATGTCATTTACAAAATAGCTTCCAACACTCAACTCAGCAAATTGGATGTAGTCTATCACAGTGCCATCAATTTTGTCACCAAAGCCCCATATACTACCCACCATTGTGACCTGTACGCTCTCGTTGGCTGGCCCTCACTACATATTCGTCGCCAAAACCATTGCTCCAGGTCATCTATAAATCACTTCTAGGCAAATCCCTGCCTTATCTTAGCTCATTGGTCACCATAGCAACACCCACCCGTAGTATGCGCTCCAGCAGGTATATCTCATTGGTCATCCCCAAAGCCAACACCTCCTTTGGCCGCCATTCCTTCCAGTTCTCTGCTGCAAATGACTGGGTCAAACTACAAAAATCTCTGAAGCTGGAGACACTTATCTCCCTCATTAACTTTAAGCATCAGTTGTCAGAGCAGCTTACCGAACTTGTTCTCAACTGGCTTACCTGGTTAAATAAAGGTGAAATAAAAAATAAAAATACAAAAGAAGCCTTGACCTGCTGCACACATATTTTTCTGTCCTCAGTTTGATTGAAGACCTCAATCTGTATTTTTGCCTTGTAACGTATTGCTTCTAGAAAGAAAAAGGTAAGGGACAACACATGATCAAGATGTGCTAGCTACTTGTTTAAAGCAATGAAATATTTAATTGTTACAAAGAATGAATGTATGGGCTACATTTATGAGAATAATACATGCATTTACTTGAAGACGACAGTCATTTATCACTCAAAAAAGTGTTATGAGTGAGTACACCACAAACATCTTTCCAGGGTGTTGATGCATCCTCTTCCCAATGCCGTGTCTTCCAACACCACAGTTAAGGGAAGGGTCTCCATCTGCAAAAGTGATTTTTTGATTGATGTCAAGTCAGCTCATATTGTTGCAACCTTTGCTAGCTGTGCCAGCTAACAAAGACAGAAACAATCTTATTCACCAAAAAATCATTAGTTTGCTAGCTAGCTATCACATAAATTGTGCAAAAATATGATTGCTAACCTTTGCTAGCTAGCTGAGCACTAGCTAGTGGTGCTGACAGATTGAAACTGATGTAGCAACACAATGTGTTTCACTCTATTCCATAAAGCATGTCATTGCTAACCAGGCATCAATTAGCTAACACCATTTTTAAGTTTACTAGGAAATGTAATTAATAAGTTAGATACTTACCAGATAACTTTGGTAGATAGCTAGCTGGATAACTTGGTTTCCATTTTCTAAGTGATTTTTCTTCTCCCCCTGACTGGTTGTTAACAGTTACTGGTCTTGGAACTCATGTGTTAACCAGAAAAGGCTTCTGGTAAACTGTTTGCCACAGGTTTGCCACAGGTTTGCCACAGATTCAAATATAATTATGAAATAATTATTTACTAGAATAAAACCTCTGGCAAAATGTTTGCCACAAGTTTTCTGCAGATTCACCATTAGTGACAAACATTTGCAAACTTCTAGCAACATTTTGTGGCACACTATTTAGTTTGCAGCAAATTTGCCACAAACTTGCAGGAAGTTTGCTGCAACAAATTCTTTTTTGTAAGGGGTGTCCTCCAAGCACACAGTAACCAACTCACGTCTGACTCCATTACTGTAGATTTCTTTGTAAACCTCTCCAGCAGCTCCTCATTGCATCTTGACGCATTGATCAAGGATAAATACATTTCTGACACTATAAATACTTCATAATTATGATATGAGATGAATGAGGGACAAAAATAGTCCAACATAGGAACTTTATGCTTATTACTGTCACCATGTGTGTGTGCGCGCGTGCCTGCGTGTGTGTGAAAGCAAGTGCGTATGTGTATGCGTGTGTCTACCAAAAGAAAGACTATTATAGCTGCCAATTTACCCAATTTTTAAGTCAAATGGTATACTTAATCTGTGTGACAGGCACCAGTCAGTATGAACTCCCAAAAGGATACATCTCTGTGACAATGATGACTGCGTTCTTCTTCTCAAAGGCATCATGGAAATACAGGACTCTCTCGTGGTCCAGCCCAGACTGCAGGTTCATCTCTCTCAGGGCAGAGGCCTTCCTCTTGGCTCGGGCAGAGATGAACTTGGCAGCATACTCCATTTTACCCACCTTCTGCGTCACTCGTTTCACATAGGAGAAAGCCCCTCTAAAAAAAAAAAAAGAAAGATTGATTGGGAGGTAACACTTTACAATCACTTTCATGATTAAGCAATAACAAACCATTTGTAAATCTTGAATAAATACATATTTCATCATTTATAAACATGAATAAATATTTTGAACATTTATAAGGATATAGTTTGTTGGTTCATGGTTTTACAATAAGAATAGATAACATGAGACAGATCATGACAGTTTATCTGATGTTCTTTTGAATGCTGATTACAAGAAATTATCTGTTTACAGAAAGTTATCTAATATGTATGTTATTAGTGGGACTTGAAATAACAAACGTCCCACTCTAAATCTTTGTCATAATTCTAATTATTATTAATAGAACTTGCGACAGCAAATGTCCCAGTCTAAATCTTTGTCATACCTATTATTAATGTGGCTTGCGAAAGCAGCCATACTTTAAATAATGTACCACTTATTTCTGACTTGTATTATTAATGTGCCTTGCAAAGCAAGACTCCACACGTTAAATCTTAGACATACTTCTTCTTCTTCTTCTTCTTCTTATTATTATTATTATTATTATTAATGGGGCTTGCAAATGTAGATATTCCATTAAAAATCTGCAGTTTCCAGCTACAATAGCCATTTACAACATTAACAATGTCTACACTGTATTTCTGATCAATTTGATGTTATTTTAATGGACAAACAAATTGCTTTTCTTTTGAAAAAAATGAAATTTCTAAGTGACCCCAAACTCCAAGCATACTGCTGTGTAAACTCACCTCGGTCACCAGAGCAAATAAACTTTGTCTTGAATACAAGCCATATCTACTTATTTGCTATACTGACAGACTAATCTACTGTTTATTAAAACGTTTACTTGCCAACAAATTAAGTTTAAATGATAAACCAACTCCCTGCGTCATTTGTTTTAGCAGGAATACTTACGCTAGTTCATCCAAATACATTTCATGAATATCACAATTAATTGATCAAGAACTTGAAGTCTGATGCAGCTGGAATCATTTAGTCACTTGTCAGTACACTTATAAAAAATATTATATAAAACACCATTACATACATATGTACAACAGCTAGCAACATCTATAGCACAATGCAGTTGTGAGCATACTAGGCATTCTATGTTATACTACAACATCAGTCTAACTGAATATTGATGTTGTGTTGGTTGAATGTTCCAGGCAGGATCCAGAATGTTCTTCAGCTGGTGAACCTTTTGTGTTGGGTAAAGGCATTTGGTTTAGCAGGTTTTGGCAATCTTGGCAGGGATGTTGGGTTTGGGGGGCTGTGACTCTGGCTCCTTGTAGACAACCGTCTGGTCCTTTCTGCATCTACAGCCATGTGGTAAAGCCTCTTGTACACTTTCTTCACTACCCACTGCTTCGACCTCTTGCAGAAGATTTGTTTGTACTGCAAGTCTCCTGGAAAGACATGAAGACTGATCATGAGGATGTATAACCATACAATAAACCATGTTAATCTGTAAACAAAAATAGAATACAGTAGACTGGTATGTGTTTTGTTACAGAGTCAATAATGGGGGATTGAGATGGGCTGTTAGCAAAGATGTTAAAAGTTTGAGGGGGGCTTGACTTGTAGTCAGTCTAATTGTGTATTACTGTGTATGAGCACCTACAGTTGTGCTGTTGAGTAGACAAGCACTGCCAGCAATAGATTGAATAGGCTAGAAGAGTATACTAACAGCCCCTCTCCCTCATGCTAAAGAACTGACTGCAAGGGTGTGAAAAGTTTGAAGAGCACTTGTCTTGTAAACAGTTTAATGTTGGTGATTTTTTATTAATTTTTTCATGTCAATATATCATGCATACTAACCTTCACAAACAATATCCACCTCCAACAGACACCAGTCAGTCACCCAAACCATCCCCTCCTTACTAATACCTCCTTTTCTCCAATTTAGACATCAAGCCTTGCATAAACAATCAACTAAGCCTCCATAATACAGAGAAAATTATAGTAGAAGTTGTAGCCTATGTGTAAACACACCAACTATGACAACAAGACACGGACCATGTTTATGCCTAGCTTTAGTATATTTATTTGCTCATCATGGAGTCATGAAAATATTTAGTAGATATTTAGTTTGACTTACTAGTTCCTGGTGCTGAGCTTGATGTTGATGCCTCTGCAGATGTTGATGGGATTGGACTAGCTAACGTAACTTAACGAAGCTAATGTTAGCTTGCAAAGTTACAAATTACATCGCCAGATAGCAGCTGGCTAATTACATTGATATGCTTTGGAATGTCTAGCCAGCGTATTATGAAAGCTAGCTAGATTTTGGTTTAGATAAACAAATGTAGTTTGCTAGCTAGCTAGTTAGTTAGCTAGGTAACGTTAACTACCTTACCTCAACTTGTCCTCTTTTCTGCTGCGCTGATGTTGACTGATCAGATGCCTTCCTCTTTGAAGTGAAGGGGAATATCGATGGAATAGCATCACTTTTCAACGTTACTGTTTATTATCTATCCTATTGTCTACTCACTTTATCCCTACCTATATGTACATATCTACCTCAATTACATCGTACCCCTGCATATCGACTCGGTACTGGTACCTCGTGTATATATCCAGGTTATCTTTACTTTATCTTTTTTTCTCTGCATTGTTGGGAAGGGCCTGTAAGTAAGCATTTCACTGTTATTCTACACCTGTTGTTTACAAAGCATGTGACAAATACAATTTGATTTGCTCAGCAATATTGCCCAAAATAATTGCCAGTGTATCATGGCCTAGCCTGGGGCTAAGAATGATGCACTGTTAAAAGGCCTATTGTGATCTTTGACACAAATCAGCTACTTTGACCACTTTCCCAACAACTTAGACAAGAAAATCAGAACATAATTATCTTCTACCAATCAAAAGTGACAGCTTTTTTAGTAACTGCATTAACAACTTTTCATTTCAACTTTTTGAAACAACTGCCGTTTTGACCACTTGTCCAAGAAGTTAGACAACAACGTAAAGGGTATGAAATCTGAGTCTACTTCTCTGCTATTCAAATCTGAAATCAGAAAATAAATATATTCTACTGATCAAACGATACAGCTGTTTTAGTAACCACATCAACTACATTTTATCAACATTTTTAAAGGGATACTTCAGGGTTTTGGCAATCTACTTCCCCTGGAGTCAGATGAACTTGTGGATACCATTTTTATGTCTCAGCGTCCAGTATGAAGGAAGTTAGAGGTAGTTTCGCAAGCAAATGCTAACTAGCGTTAGCACAATGACTTGCTAGCTGTTACCATAGATGTCCACTCATTGTGCTAACACTAGTTAGCAATTGCGCTAAAGCTAATTAGCAACTTCAAACTGCAGAGACATAAAAAATAGTATCGACGAGTTCATCTGACTCTGGGGAAGTAGACAAAATCCCGAAGTATCTCTTTAAAAACAACTGACATATTTACCACTTTCCCAACAACTTAGACAAAACCTTTAAGTGTATTAAATCTTAGTCTACTTCTCTGCTTTTCAAATCTAAAATCAGAACATTTCTTCCACTACCACTAAAATACTTTTAAGAGCTAAATCAAGTCCCATAATTTTACTTTGTGTAAAATCACCATCTAGTTGTTATTATTATTATTCTTTAGCACGCTACTCCTTTTACACCATTTAAGCTAGAAATGCCATTCAAACTTTCAAACTAAGTTGCTTGTATAATACCTTTTGATACTTTCATACTTTTTAAACTATTAAACTTTTTGTCCATTTTGTCCTCCGTCCACTTTCATGGGATTTCCTCAGCATTCTAAAGGGCCCATTTGTGACATTATGACTCCCAACATTCTATTCAATTCACTGTAGGGGTGTGAACGTTTAACCTTTTGACACGTACCATCAAACGAGTGTGATCATTCTACAGTGGTCCCTGCAATGTTCGCTCAAACTGGTGTGATTAGAACACTTCATTAGAACGTCTAGTTACGATTGACACAACAGTCAGAGTTTGAGCTGGCCACACTGTTTTTTCACAGAAACATTTTTCACAAACACAGTCTTTACAGATGTACAGTATGTCCTCAATGTGAGCAGTTTGTTTTTGGATGCAGATGTTCAGACGTTCACAGAAGTAGCAACAGCATAACACAATTCTCATTGAAATCTGAAAATGTAGGCTGTTAGTCCTAGCGCCTACTGAGGAAAGAGTGAGGTAACACAAGCGGTCATATTTAGCTCACTCTCGGCTAACATTTTACATTTACATTTTAGTCATTTGGCAGACGCTCTTATCCAGAGCAACTTACAGTTAGTGAGTGCATACATAATTTTTTTATTTTTTCATACTGGCCCCCCGTGGGAATTGAACCCACAACCCTGGCGTTGCAAACGCCATGCTCTACCAACTGAGCTACATCCCTGCCGGCCATTCCCTCCCCTACCCTGGACGACGCTGGGCCAATTGTGCACCGCCCCATGGAAACCATAATATGAATTAGCTAATAGCAATTACTATTTACAATTTATCACATCATGGGTGAGCTCACCAGTGATCAAAATAATTAGTAAAACACTTTATAAAAGTCTAAAGTAATCTGGCTCGAGTTTGTGCGCACCGCCATGTTTGTTTTTCCATGTAAGACGAGGTGACAAGATGAGTTGGGTCTGTTTGCTGTATGCATGTTGAAGGGGCTGTGTCATCTGGGGAGTTACATAGGACAAGATAGGTCACTCCCACCATTCACTTCCAGAAGTTTAGCAGAAAGACAAGTGAATCATCTCTTTACCTCATTTTGTTATAACATCTTTGGTCTGACAGACGTTTACGTGACACCCAGAATGTATTGCTATGATGACAATGACAACAAACATGGCTGGCAATTACCTTATCATTAGCTCATTATAGTCAGTACAACCTTCAAATAAGTTATTTTACACACATCATATGAGTACATTACAATGTACGTAAGAATTGGAATGCATGATTTGTCTCCAGTACTTGAAAACATGTGATTAAAACAGTAAATAAAGAAATACATTTTCTGATAGTGATTAATTGATACAAGTGGAGCGTGGGGAGTACCATAGGCTAAAGCACTATTGAGCACATCTGCAGCAATTACTGACTGACTGATTGACTTGGCAGTTGGCTTGCCATGATACTATGACTTTAGGGGTCAGGGGTGGGAATGAAGTTTTTGTTGTTCAACCACTAAATGAATATTGAAATTGTCATTGTCTTTTCTTGCTGTTTTTTCCTCCGGTAAAACTGTAAAGGCGTGTAAGTTCAAACAGTATGTTGCTAGCATAGTTCTAGTTATGATGTTGGCAAATTATGTTCAATACTGTTTGTCACTGTCTGTGGTTTCTGAAAGTACAGATTAAAGAGGAATGATTAGTAATTATACTGAACAAAAATATAAACGCACATTTTACTGAGTTACAGTTCATATAAGGAAATCAGTTAATTGAAATAAATAAATTAGGCTCTACTGTATGGATTTCAAAAGACATGGGAATAAAGATATGCATCTGTTGGACACAGATACCTTTAAAAAAAAGGTAGGGGCCTGGATCAGAAAACCAGTCAGTATCTGGTGTGACCACCATTTGCCTCATGCAGAGCGACACATCTCCTTCACATAGAGTTGATCAGGCTGTTGATTGTGGCCTGTGGAATGTTGACCCAGTCCTCTTCAATGGCTGAGCAAAGTTGCTGGATATTGGCGGGAACTGGAACACGCTGTCGTATACGTCGATCCAGAGCATCCCAAACATGCTCAATGGGTGTCTGGTGAGTATGCAGGCCATGGAAGAACTGGGACTTGAAGTTTCCAGGAATTGTGTACAGATCCTTCAAATTACCATTGATAAAATGCAATTGTGTTTGTTTTCCATGGCTTATGCCTGCCCATACCGTTACCCTACCACCACCATGAGGCACTCTGTTCACAACATTGACATCAGCAAACCGCTCGCCCACACGACGCCATACAGGTGGTCTGCAGTTGTGAGGCCCGTTGGACATACTGCCAAATTATCTAAAATGACGTTGGAGGCAGCTTATGGTAGAGAAATTAACATTAAATTATATGGCAACAGCTCTGGTGGACATTCCTGCAGTCAGCATGCCAATTGCACGAGCCCTCAAAACTTGGAACATCTGTGGCATTGTGTTGTGTGACAAAACTGCACATTTTAGAGTGGCCTTTTATTGTCCCGAGCACAAGGTGCACCTGTGTAAAGAGCATGCTGTTTAATCAGGTTCTGGATATGCCGCCCGTCAGGTCGATGGATTATCTTGGCAAAGGAGAAATGCTCACTAACAGAGATGTAAAGAAATTTGTGTACAAAATTTGAGATAAATAATATTTTTGTGCATATCGAACATTTCTGGGCTCTTATATTTCAGCTCATGAAATATAGGACCAACACTTTCCATGTTGTGTTTATATTTTTGTTCAGTGTAGATTACAATATCAGGATATAGCAATAAAACAATGAAGTAACATAATAACACTGCTATAAGAATAATAAGTTGCATCGACAACATGACTGTATGACAAAAAATGACACAAATGAATACACATGGCAATGGACATGATGAGGGAAACTTCCAAAGGATACAACACAAGCTAATACTGCTTTGACGCCATTAGTGTCACGCCCTGGCTCTGGGGACTCTTTAATGTTGAGCCCGGGTGTTAGTTTCTATGTTTTGTGTTTCTATGTTGGCCGGGGTGGTTCTCAATCAGAGGCAACGTGAATCAGCTGTTGCTTGTTGTCTCTGATTGGGAACCATACTTAGGTAATTGTCCGCCTGTCTGGTGTTGTCAGTTTGGTTTTCCTTGATCGGATTATTCGTGTTACGCATGGTTTGCGTGTTCGTTTTACCTCCTGTGTCGAGGTCTTTATTTT